TTCAAGTGCTGCTGTTTTGATTTTCCCTTCATCTGTAGGGTGATCCATGTTCAAAGAAGCTCCCGACACGTTCAATGAGACGATAAACTGCATTCACAAATGACATTTTATGATTAGTATTACAGATACTGAAAATGAATATAAGGAAACCACATAAACAAAAATAAGACTTCAAAAGCATGACTATATGAGTGTTTTCTTTAATGGCAATTTCAGTGTTTTCCTCCCCTTATAATCATTTTCCTTAAACTCAAATCAGGCAATTGCATCCAGAGGCAGACCTATGCAATACAGAGGGGTCATCGGCACCCGTAAAGTTCGGCAAAAATTCCATGTATACATGTATGTCTTTAGAAAATAGTGATATATTAGTAGTGAGCACCCCATATTCAAATCAGATTTTGGTTGAATCCAAAAGTGCACCTACGACCTTCAAATTCTGGGTCCGCCTATGATTGCATCACATCTTTGCTCAGGCATTTATCATGGTGAGAATATTAATTTTACCTCCATTAGATGAAAGAAAAGTGATACTAGTAAGTTCAATTGTGGTACACAGCAAGGGCGAATGTAGCCTTTCGGCACGGGTTCAATGAACCCATATCTTTCGACACAATGTATGAATTTAGATGTAAGAACCTACTATAATAATTTCAATAATATTAAATTTAAATCTATAATTCTAACAGTACAATAATTGCAATCCTAAAAATCTTAAAAGTTGAACCCATTAAATTTAAATCTTGGATCCGCCTCTGGCACACAATATTAATCCACACCGAGCATTTCCAAGTTTAGACATAATAAACCAAAGAATCCAACGCCACACCATCAAAATTTTGTAAACAATCACAAACTAAGCATTAAAAAAATCACGCCATTAAATCCAAACAGAACATTTATTCTAGCACATAAAGGAAGGAGGTAATGATCTCCTTAAAAGAAAATATCCCTATAAAGTTATCATGTGTTATTTTTTGCTAATATCCTATTAAAAAGTCATATAACTAAAATAATGGACTACGATCGGGGGCGACGCTACATGTCTTAAAGGGTGATCAATTGACCCCTCTTCGTCGAAAAATTATACTGCGTATATTAGGTAAAATATTAGGTTTTAGAGGCATATATCATATATTGAACACTCTTTGTCGGAATTTTTTTTTTCCGACTTCTTTCAGGTTTGAACAACTTTAAGAAAATTCCTAGTTTCGACACTGACTACAATATCACGCGATAGGAAGTGAATCACATAGAGAGAAAGGAACAAAGAGATCACCTCTAGCCTTTCGTTTGTAAGATTGGATCAGACGTGAAAATCTTGGAATCCATTAAATCTGTGTCAATTCGTACCTATACAAATAGCCATTCAGATTCCAAAAATGAGCTCAAATTACTTTCATGAAAAGCTAAAATACAAACATAAAGGCATTAAAAATGTGAAGTAAAGACAACAATTTTGTTGGGAAAAAAAATGGTAAAAGATATCAGGAATATCATTTGAATACCTCCAAATCTTGTGGATCGTGTGCTTTTGTTTTTGCCTGTTGTTTTCATTCAGTTAGCTCTAACCGTTAATGTGAAAAGTAGACATAATTCTGTTCCGAGCCCTCAAGTTTGTTAATAGGTACTTCCTACACATTTGATTGGATAAGGTTAAAACTACGTTAAAGGGCCAAATTAAGGCTGCAATGTGGGCCGGTTAGGCCCGGGTCCGGCCCAGGCCCGCGAGCCCATATGGGTAGTGTGCCTAAACGGGCCTAACCATTTAAGCCCGGGACCAGGGGAGGTGCAGGCCCAAGTGGGCCGGTTCCTTGAAGAAGCCCGTTAGGACCGGGACCGTTTGGGCCCGGGACCGGGTGCTAAGTGGGCCGGTTCAGTAAACGGGCCCAACGGCTATTTTTTTTAAAAAAGAAAAAATCCAAAAAAAATTTTTAGCCGTTGAAACATTTAAAATGGTCGTTGGCCTGCAAAAATAGCCGTTTGGCCTTTCTAAAATAGCCATTTAACCCCCCCCCCCTCCCCCAACTTTGTTTTAACCCCAAACTTTTTATAATTACACTTTTCCCTATTTTTAACTATAAATACCTCCTCATTCTTTCATTTTTCTCACAAGATCATCAATCTCTCTCATTTCTCAAACTCAAATTGAAGTATTCAAGTCTTCAAGTCTTCACTCATCTCTCATTTCTCAAACTCAAATTCTTAATTCAAGTTAAATCATGCCCGGTGATTCTAGAGTGCGCCCATTTGTTTTGGAACACTTTAATGTGGTAGAAGAAAATAAAGAAGTTTACATAATAAAGTGCAAGAACTGTGGTCGAGTCTACACTCATCGTCCAAAGTTGGAGGGCACAGGCTGTTTAAGGAGGTATATAAAGAGTTGTCTTTCGCGTTCTCCTGACATTCGTATTTAAGATTTTAAGTTGATTTCAAATAATTTGTGTTATTTTAAAATTATTAGACGTATTATGCTTAATGTTTTAGTTTATTAGATCAATTTGAAGTATTATGTTGAAGGCATTGAACTTTAATTTGAAGTATTAAATGTAAACTTTAATTTGCAACT